ATAACCTTGGGAACTCGTCCGCCCCCTCTCTCTCTCTCTCTCTCTTCCAAGGAGTTGTTCTATTTCTTGTGCTCCACTGATACAAGATCTAGATAGCTATTTGAGAATACAATAGAAGATCTTAAGGTATATACGGGATTCTAATCAAATCTATCATCCATCCAAACCGGAGACCAAAAAAAGGCAAGTAACCATACCACGACGACCAGGACGACGAGTCGAAGAGAACGCCGTCGAGATCGCCGCCAGCTGCCGCCGCACGCGCCCACACGCGCCGCCGGAAGATTGCAGCTGCTGGGACTCACACGCGCGCGTGAGAGCGCTTGAATGCTCCGTTTTCTGACTAGTCAACGCTGTTGACTTCGCCGTGACGCCAACTTTCTGGATTGGTCAAGTTTGTTTAATTCCGAGAAGATTTGATTTGCGCTCATCTGTTCGGGCCAGCCAGATCTACATAAATTTTAAGCCGTAAGTTTTCTACATCAAACCTTTAGATCCGCTGCGCATAGGTTTATGTTGAATGTTTATCCGTGATTTGTGCATATCGAGATCCTCATAGGTCCCAACAATTACTAGCTAAACATCGTAGCATACATAATCGAACACATGATATTCAAGAAACAAATCAAATAAGAATATCCAAATGAAACATTGGTCCAATAATCCCAAAAACCATAAGTTTTGAAAACGGTTCAACACGTCTCAACTAAAAGAGGTTCACAAGGGCCAGACATTATTCACAAACGGAAGAATGATAATAAAGCATAATAAAAAGACCGACCCACTCGTCTTTCCTCGTCACCCGGCACCTGCTTGACCTACATCCGTGAAGAGCAGGTGGGGATGAGCACAAGAGGAAACAATAGTGCTCACCGCTATGCAATAAATGTTAACCTTAATAATAAACAGTATCAACTATCAAAGGTATGGTTTCAGCATGAACATAAATCAATCAACATGTCACATCTCCGATCACAAATACCAATTTCATTACTCATGTGTACCAATGTTTTAAAGGCGGTATGGCGAGGCGAGGCGAGCGACCCCCTTCCGGACGCCTAGGCGAATATGGCGATCGCCTAGGCGACGCCATATAAACAATTTAATATATAATACCAATAATAATTCAAATGTCAATCCAACCTTAATATAGCCAATTATAGGCATAAATATGCAGTGCTATTATAGAGGCATAGGACACCACACAAAGTAGCAAATTACAAATATGAAATGTTCCACTTCCATCTCCTAGTAGCCATAAATGAGTCTCTAATGGCATACATAACTTAATTAGTAGTGGGTGCTGCTACTACATCACATTCTTAGTGCATCACATAAGTAGTGCTACTAGTGCAGCACATATATTAGCTAACAAAAGAGGGAATGAATTCTCTAATCTCTCAAGTCTCAAACTCTCAATCTCAATAGCCATCATCAAACTCTCCAGCAATGTTGGCTGCCTCATTGTCTTCTCCAGTTTCATTGGCATCATTTGGATCATCCTCACAATCTGTCACATCTGCATCATCAAATGGATCTGGATTTTCTTCATTGTCGTTCTCTGGACCCAACTCATCTTCATTCACAGCAGAATTTCTTCCACGCCTGTGGGTTGCTCTTGGAAAGTTTCGGCCTTGAAGTGATTGTGATGCTCCAACAGCTTCATCAACAAGGTTCCAAGTAAGGTCACACTCACATCCCCGAGCACCTTGAGGGGTTACATGCAATGAGTCAGCCCACTCATTGTTCCAATTAAAGTCCTCAATAACCAAAGGATCAAAGTTTTTCCCCTACTGTTGGCGTAACTTTTGGAACCTAGATTTCATCTTCCGGTTGTAGGAAACAAAGACAATAGAATTCAGCCTCTTATGCAACAGTCGGTTCCTTTTCTTTGTGTGGATCTGCAAAACCAGGAACAAAATTGCAATAAAATTGAGTAAATGTTTGCTGAAATATTGGTAAGAGCAGCAGGCAAATGAGGAAATACTCACAGATTCAAATTTGCTCCAATTTTGCTCACAGCCTGATGATGAAGCACAAAGACTAACCACACGCCTTGCAAATCTTTGCAGCTCAATAGCACGGCCACCATAGGAACACCTCCAATCAACTAGAGCAAACAAATGAAACATTATGTTAATAGCTAGGACCAAAAAATGCTTGCTGGAATTAAATTGATGTGGTGTACACTTGTTGAAATTAAAATGGAAATGAAACACTTACGTGGACTCAATGACTCAAGGTTTTGTTTGTCCATCTTATTTGAAAAAGCTTCTCCTCTAAGATATTCATAATCCATGGCTTGAGCATTGATCTTGGCTCTAGTTTCTTCATCCTCCACCATTCTTGCAAGCACATCAAGGAAGCAACCCCTTAGCTGTCCAACAATTTCATCATCATCCTTTTTTAGTAAAGGATGTAGCTTCCCTGGGTTCAAGTACATTGCAGCCCCATACAATGGATGATCCATTTGTTTCTCCCAACGTTGCTCAATTATTTTCATTATCCTCCTGAGCAAAGATCTCTTGCTTTCTATGGCAAAGCTTTGATGGATCCTCTCCTTAGCATGGTTCATTAGAGCTTGAACCTCCGGCATTGCTGGCTTCTCATCTCCATCAACCACCCTAAGCACAATAAGGAGTGGGGTTGATGCTCTAAGGCAGTCTTCCACTGAATTTCAAAACTGAGTAGACAACACAATGTCATGCACATCTTGACCAGCTTTAGTTCTTGCCAATTTGTTCCCAGTCCATGCTTCGCTAACCATGAAAGACTTCAAAGCATCCTTGTGCTTATACAAGCTCTTAAAAGTCAAAAAGGCCGTTGCAAAACGTGTGGCTGCTGGCGTCACAAGGTCAACCCCTCTTGTTTTCTCCCTTATGGCACTAAGGATCCTACCATGCCTATAAATGAAAGTTGTCACACGCCTTGCACGTGTAATAGATTTCTTGAATTCTGGCAAATTCCCTATATCTTCTAACATGAGATCCAAACAGTGGGCAGCACATGGACTCCAAAATATTGTAGGAATCCTCTCAATGAGAAGCTTCCCTGCAGCCTTAAAGTTAGCACCATTATATGTGATAACTTGAACAACCTTGTCTTTTCCAATCTCCTCAACCTTCTTCTCTAGCAAACCAGCAAGCATGTATGCATCATGTACTTCACTTGATGCATCAATTGACTCCAAGAAGTAAGTACCCTCCAGGCTGTTTACAAGAAAGTTAATCAAGTGACGTCCCCTCCTATCAGACCATCCATCAGACATGAGTGTGCAGCCATAATGTTTCCATGCTCTCTCATGTTCCTCTCTCATGGTACTTGTTGACTTCACAGCTTCTTCAAGTAATGGATCCCCAAGTTGATATGGTGTTGGAGGCTTGTACCCTGAACCATATTGTGTTGTGGCCTCAACTGCAATCTGAAATTGCCTTGCTGCTGCTGCATTAAAAGGTATGCCACATTCATAGAAGAACAATGACCATTGTGTATCCACATAATGCTTCTCTTCCTTGGTTTTTGTACTGGACACAATTGTGGGCTGATTAGACCCTGAAAGTCTCTCATCTACTATCTCTTCTGGTGTTTTTTGAAGCATCTCAGCTACAAATTTGTTTGCCTTTGCCTCTGGTTTAGTCTTGTTGCCAACAACTATGAATTGTAAGGATGATTGCCTCTTTTTTGCTGCTGTCCCTGAACTAGGATGTACTGCAGCAGCAGTAGCATTTGCAGGAGCCTCATTTGCTGCCACCTCCACCACCTCGTCATCTAAAGTCAATGATCTTTTCCTCTTGTTTGCTTCCAAGTAAGTTGCCATCTCCTTCCTAACTTCAGTGCTCACACTTGGACAGAGTTTTGCATCTCCATAACCTCCTGCTAAATGTTGCTTCAACCTTTTAATCCCTCCACGAACATGGCCGCCACATAAGGTGCATGCCACCTCATCTCTGTTTTGAAGGTTCGGCCAATAGCCAAACCTCCACGCTGGATCTTTTGACTTTTGCGGCTTCCGGGCTGGATCATTCTTGGGATCATATGCTGCATGATTTTAATTATCTATTAGCATAGAGTACAAAGAGCAGCAGCAGCAACTATAACAGAGCACAGAGCACCCACCAGCCTAGTAAACAAATCATATCCTTGTTAGCTATATGACATTGACGAACTCTATTTTTTTATTAAATATCATTTTTTTCTATTTATATTAAATATAAATAAAAATGGTAATTATTCTAAATTTGTAGTTATTATCAATTAATTTAATAAGTCCAAGAAATGTAGAATTAAATAAATGGACTTATCTATCTACACAAAAGATATATATGATAATCAACTTTCTTATTTTCAATTAGAATATAAAACAGAGCGATTAGCATATAATACAGAGCAGCAACAGCTAATGTCCTACTCCATTTAGCATCTAACTATAAACCAAAGCACAAGTAGACAAAAAAAAAAGCACAAGTAAACAAAGCAACAACTATACCCATGTGATCTAGTACAAATCAAAGTAGACAAAAAAAAAGCAACAGCTGTACCCATGTGATGTGCTATCCGCTCTGTTTTATATGCAATCAAATAAAGCAGGGGACCACCACATGCAAGCAAAAGAAGGGGACCGCCGCACATGCTAGAGGCAGGCGCACTAGCCATATGCAAGCTTTGGCCTTTTAAAGAGAGAGACAGAGAGAGAGAGAGGAGGGGGAGGTGAGGGATACCTTGTCCAGTGGAGGGCTGAGCGGGGCTGGGCGCTGATGAATCCATGGCTTCTCGCTGCGCGGCGCTGGGCACCGGTGAAGCCATCTGGTTCGAGGAAGCAGGTCGTCGTGGCCCTCCTGGGTCCGTGCGGACAGACGCACAGGCGCGGGAGGACGCGCTGCTCTGAGCGGCGAGGGAGGACGAGCAGCTCCGAGCGGCGCGGGAGGATGAGCGGGACCTGGCTGTGAGTGGAGAAGAAGCTCCTGGGTCTGCCTCTCCCTCTCTCTTCTCAATCCCTTGTGACCCTATCTCTCACAATCCCTCTCTATTTCTGGATGATTTTCTCTACTCGAGCGCGCGGAGGGAACCTCTGATGGCGGGAGAAGTCCCGCGTCGGAGCAATTTCCCGCCTTAGGTCATTTCCCTTTCCCGCGTGCCCGCCCTGGCTCCCTTCCCTTTCCCGCGCGTGGCGTATGGCGACCGCCTAAGGCTTGAAGGCGACGCCTGCGACGACTAACGCAAAAGGCGGATGCCTTAGGCGCCGAGGCGGACGCCATATGGAACTTGACTAGGTGAGACCTGACGCCCTGATATTTTCATCGCCTGGACGCTTAGTCGTTGCCTAGGCGACGCCTTTAAAACACTGATGCGTACACATCTATCATTAGACTACCGCTGGCCTATTCGAGGGCACGCCATGTGACTTAGCTCGACACGCATATTGATAGCACGCCATGTGACTTAGTCCGATATGGCCTTTCAATAGGACTTGGGGAGATTGCCACACAAGGGCACCGTACCGTAACTCGACGGGGACAACCGTACCGACGGCCGTAACAACTCACATCGATAGGACACATGGTTCACATGCATACATTGATCATACCAGTTTCAATAAAAACATAAACAACTTACGGCATAGCAATTTAAATAAGACCCACCTGGATTTCGGATTGACGATAGCAAAATCAGAAAGGACGTAGGTTGAGGCTGGACTCCTCAAACACCTACATTAAGTCAAGATCCTATAATCAATATTTATCTTGACTTAAACGGAAAACACAAATCATACTTAGTCGAACTTTATTCGACTAAGTTGTTCGTGAAGTCATGTGGATATTAGAACACTTGGACTCGACTCGACCAATGAAGAGCAAATACACTAATTCAAGAAGGTCAGGGAACCTAATGAGTTAAGTTCTGAAACTTTAACATAAAATCCATCTCACCGGACTTAACAAAACCACCAAGTTTCTGCCCAAACTCATTATACACAATTTTATAAAATTCAAACGTGATTTCAGCATAAACGAGCATATAATCTGAAGCCTGACCTAATGAATGAATTTGTACTTGAAATTTGTACTGGAGCAACTACAGCAGGTAAGGACCAACATATTAAAATTCCAGCTATTAACATCAAATACATGAATTATGAAAATTCATACAAATTTTTGCAGTTTTGAAATTTTAATTAAAACCGACACATTTTGAACTCCAAAAATTCCAATCTTTTTACAGAATGAATTGACACATAAAACAAGCACCTCAGTTAAAAATCAGAATTTTTGAGCAATTGGCCAATTTATCATGATCAAAACAACTTTCAGCAGAAAACGTAAATAAATTATATAAAAAAACAAACTTAGACCAAAAATTCTAAAAATTGTACACTACATATAAACGTGACCAAGACATAACATACTCAAAGTTCAGAATGATTAAAATACGGACCAATTTTTTATGCATTTAACATGTTTCTGTCCAAAAATCGTTTTAATTAATAAAAATAGCTACAAGCCGTGAAAAATTATGAAATTTTTACACAACATGGAATATCAATGCAGGACATTCCATATAAAATTTCATGGCAATCGGAGCAGCATGAAATTTATCATGAATTAAATACGATTCAGCAGTTAGTTCGGTTTCGAAAAATCATATAGGACCCGAAACACTCTCAATTCGTCCAAGGCCTTCGCCATGAGGCCAAGGAGTCGACAAAGTTCCATTATCCATAGCATATACACGAATTTAACTGGGGTTTCACAATGATTTCAAATTAATCAATAAATTGCCACATAAACACAATAAAACACGTCTATAACAACAAGGCTCGAAACACGCGAAAATCGAAAGGGGAATTGTATTTCGGTACCGTTCTCGGGATTAGTTCGCGACGACGAATGAAATGATGGCCTAGACGGGCTGTTCGGAGGCCGACAGCATGTTCGTCGGGCTCAACGACAACGGCTCGTGGGGGTGGCATATGATTGATCGAAAAAACGGGATTTGACGGAAGAAGGGTCGCCGGTCTGCTGCTCTAGCTTGCTGCTCACGGTTGGGGATGATTGCTCACGACAGAGATGATGATGGAGGTGATCGAGCAGCAGGATGTGGTTCGCCGGGAGTTGCAGGAGCTTATCGATGATGATGTCGTGGTGGTGCTCTGCTCAAAGAAGGAAAAAGGTAGCGGGGATGGAGCAGGACCTCATGACAGTGTTGAGGGCGACGCTTCTTGGCCTCACGACGGTGATGTGCAGCTGAGATGGAGGCGCTGCGGGGGCCGAGGGGTGGAGCACGACGGCTCTGCGCGTGGACGACGGAGCCGCCGGATAAGTACCGGTCCTTCTCTTTTCTGCACAACGAGCGAGAGAGGGAGAGGTTCGAGAGATGAAGGTTGCAGGACTACGATAGATTAATTTCTCTTGAATGTCTGCGCTCGATAAAAAACTGAGGGATGAATCTTTCTCTGTTCTTGTGACGAGATGATGATGGTCATTGGATATAACGGTGACAGGGAAAAAAAGGGAGAGAGTTTTCTGCCGATAATTGATCGTGAGAGAGAGACTTTAGAATTAGGGTCTGCGGCTTCAATGACTAGCAGAATGGGAAAAATCTCTCTTATGAATACAAGGGTTAGGTTACTTACCAAACAAGACTCACACATCACAAGAGAGAGAGAGAAGTCGGGACTTGGGCGCGATTTACGGGCAGCGCGCGGACCGGGTTTGCCGGGCTTGGGCTCTCGGTTTAACTTTTACGATATGCGGTCCCGGCTAAATAGAACGGTTACATAAAATAAAATTGGAATATATATATCTATTACACACATTAATTATTTATTAATTAGACATTTAATAACAATTATACAATTAATAATAATAATAATAACAATAATAATAACAATAATAATAATAATAATAATAATAATAATAATAATAACAACAACATTCCAATTATTCATAAACAAATGGGGCATTACAGTCTACCCACCTTACAAAGAATTCCGTCCTCGGAATTCGAAAACAAAACAACTAGAAGGTAAGAGAGTACAACAAGGGAACATCAAAATGTGAGGTTCTGGTACTCCCTCAGAATCTCGGTCTTCCTTTGCCAAGTCATCTTGCCCTCGACTTGACTACCCCCACAGGACTTTGACGAGTACCCCTCCTGGTCTTTCCCTGATGGACCCTTGGTTCCAACAGGTCACCGATATCTCCATACAGGTAGGGTTCTGCCTATCATGCAGCTCGCCACCATACACACATACCTCGAGATCACGCACACATTCCCTCCATCTCGAGGCTTAGAACATGTCATGCATCCTTGCAAGTCCCGGTGGTGGAGTCAACCATCAGGCTAAGCAATCGACTTGGTCGACGAAACGAGATAGGACAGACGATCAACACTTATCCTAAAATCCGGTACATTCAGAACACGCGGTTCTGTTTGATACCGATAGCAAGGCTTCAACCCTTACCGACACGAATAACAAATCGTATGCGGTTTCAGAAGTGACGACTAGATGCTCGATAATGATTTCCTTCCGCTGAGTCGGTCTCCAATCAAGAATCAAGGCTCTGCCCCACATTAATACAGAACTACTATCTCGCCATCTCGAGAAATCTCGTATGTGGAAAAGGAAACTAATCGACCAACCTCATATGTCGAGGGTTGTTGATTAGAGAATTCACACAAAGGTTTGAAAGATCAACATACAATTTGACCATAATCTGATTCAAAGACCCCTTAAAGGACAAGGTCGGGCTGGGTTTAATACACTGTCACCCGAGAGGTAACACACATGCTGGCGCTGCATAAGTGGGGCCCTGGGACGTGTGCGTGTACCCTCTCGGATACCAGCTACAAGGTCAAGGTTTGGCCGTACACACTGACCTGGGGAGTTCGTGCGTTCGGTGATGGTGGCGGCAGCTCTCGTGCGAGTCAACGGTCGGCCACTGCAGTTGGCCTCACGTCTCTCAGCACGGGCGTGCGGGCTCGGCCACCACTTCGCGTGGCTACACCCAGTCAGGTTCGGCATCGGTTCCAGGCACATACCAAAATTTTCAATTTCTGGGTTTCACAATTTCCTAGGTACTCCGATAGGGCAAAAGGTTTCTCCACAAGACTCGAAACTACTAAGGGGTGGGTTTGACAACAACAATTTTACCAAAAAAATCGAATATTTGCATCACTTCCAGGAATAATCCTAACTCGGCGGTCATCTCTGAACAATAGAATGGTTAGCTCACATGACTCTTCCGACAAACAGTGTCGGCCGTCACGACAACTTTTACTCCGGTAGCTAATCATTCCGACAGTCCTAAACGAGTTCATCCACATGCACAACCTATAGCTTCCACACTTCGAGGTCTAGCATTAAGCTTCTCTCACAAGTGTTTCCAGCTAACATTATAATACTAATCAGATTAAGTCACATAGGGCACATGTACATGAAAATTGACGAAAAGCTATTTTTTGAAAGTCACAACTCAATTTGGAAACTTAAACATGAACTTGCACCAATTTTCAGCATGCGTGGTGAATTTAAAATGCATGTAGCTTTCAGTATACATAACGTATCATGATGAAACCACTTGGAAAATATCCCTAACTCAGGCCTCTATCACTTCCATGAAGAACATTCAGGCAGATAAAACCATTTAAATGCACATAAAACAACAAACATACAAAACATAGGTGCAGTGGATAAATGAAGACATACAGCTTGACAGGTTCTCAGTTTATGCACAATAACCGAAGCTACAAACATGATATTACTGAAATTTAAAAACTCCAAGATAACTATCTAAATTCTATACAACTTCTTTGAAGACCCTATTGCCAAATAATGACATTATCAACGAGTTTAAATATAAAACATTCAATTCATAAACTCAGCTACAGAACATTTTTATTTTTTTTTTTAAAATACAGCACCCAAGTAAAATGGGAACAACTCAAGCTACACAACTCCAATTCATGCAAACTCAAAACTTATAGAATCTACACATGGAGATATACAAATTTCATGAAGAAGACTTTTTCATACGAGCACGTTTAAGTCATCTAAAAAGAGCACACATTCAACACTTAAACAAAATCCTGGTTTTCATAAAAAAACTGGGTGTACATATTGGCTGATGTTCCATCGATCGGATCAATTCTGTTGAAGGACAAACTCTTATCCAAGTCTGTTTCGGGAAGAGGGATTCCTCGGCAGCTCGGGCAAAGAAATCCCACTTAGAAAAATCATATAAAATCAACTGGAACTCGAAATTGCCAGATTAAAATTCCTACAGGCAGCTTACATCATA